CGCCCCCCCCTCCGGGCTCTTCCAGCCTCTCGGGGAAGGGGGGGGCGTAGAGGCAGCCGAGGCCACGTTCCGGGGAAACCCACAGGCACGAAGCCTGGCCGTGCCTCCCTCCTTCCCACTCTTCCCTGGGAGAGGAATTAAAAGCAGCCTTTGTGCCTCTCCCTCCACGCCTCTTCCCACCAGTATCAATTAAAGCTGTAAAAGCCATCAATAAAAAGGGTTTAAAGCCAAACCCAGCTAAATCTGCTCCTATCACCTTGATGCGGCGCCAGAGCTGAGGTCTCCTCTCTGTTTCCTCCCCCCATCCCCACTTCCCTTACCATTTTTTCGCACGGGCACTGCTCTTTGGAGACGCCTCGTAAGCAAAAATCACCTTGCGATCACAAATTGACAGCGGTTTCACACTGCGCAGATGTCAGAGCGGCTTTAATTCGGGCGTCGGACACGCGTGCGGGGGCAGGTACCTCTCGCGGTGGGCTGTGCGTCACGGCTGGTGTCGGAGGTAGTTCACCAGGACCGTCGGGATCTCCAGCTCGCCGAGGGCGTGCGGGCGGCCGGCCCGCCTCAGCAGGCGTCTCATCGCCAGCCTGGACTGAGACATCAGGGACTTGGGATGAGCTGCGTGAGGAGGGGGAGGAAAAGACGAGATGGTCACCTTCAAGCTGCACAACCCCGCGCCCCTCCAACCCGGGCTTTATCCCAAGCAAAGGGACACGGATACACCAAAACTCAAGGTCTTGGCGAGGGCTGGTTACGCCATGGATTCGGCCACAAGCTTTGCAGCATACGTTTCACCGGAGTGGGGCACACGGAGATGAAATCCTCCACCGTCATATGGAAGTTAAGTGCAGTTTTCCAGGACGTGGGCAGTACAGAAGCACCAGAGTTGAGCAGCAGAAAGGAGGGGAACAGCAGAAAGCAGCCTTCAACCCAACAGATTTATATTAAGTGGCAAAACCCTGCGTGCTCCAGACCAGCACCGACCGCAGTGAGGACCCTCACTGCGAGCAGCTTCTTCAGCAAGCGTCTAGAAATATTCATGAAAAGCAGACGCTGCAGCGAGTCCAAGAGGGAAGACAACCATGTAAACGTAGGTGGTGGCTGCACTGAGTCGCATCCCAGACCCAAACCAAGGCAGCCTGCCTTCAGCTGCAGCCAGCAGGTGGAAACTGGGGATATTTGGTGGATATTTATTAGAAACAAGCGCTCCCGTGACGCTCTCCTGCAAATCCCAACAATTTGTTTTAGGCGTTTCCTGTGGTAGCGTGTGTATCCAAGCCATCACATTTAATCCCTGGTGGTGGACCTATTGTCCGTAACCTTGTGATGTCTGGATTCTATGGTTCTATGATTCTCTTGCCATGTCCAGTATTGGAGACTTGGGGTTTTTGGCCTGAATGCAGCAGTCATCGAGGGAGAGGGAGGAGTAAGAGTTCAGAGTAAACCAGCAATAATACTCAAGAGTTTAAGACTAGAGACACCCATGCACGCAAGTGATGCTGCAGAGGGAGTCGAAGCCTGTGGGAAAGCCTGCGTGAGGCTATTGGGAAGTGGAGGTAAAGGGAAGGGGAAGCTGAAGCAACTTACACCCAAACGAGCAAAATTGGTGCTCATTTCCAGCCCCGGGGCCACGCACGCACGTTACCTCTCGCCTGCAGCAGCAGCTCCAGGCCCTTGCTGCGGGGTGCCGTCTCATCTACCGTGACATTGGGCAAGTACACGTTGGCTCCAAAGTCAATGAGCAGCTCAAAGAACTCGCTCCTGCAGCCGTGCCTCAGGCAGGTTTCCAGGAGAGTCTTGGGCTCCTTGATCTGGGCAATCACCCTCTCCTCGGTGCAGTTATAGTCGGGATCGGCGCCGTAAAGCAACAGCATCTTAAAGCACTCCAGATGCCCGTACACGGCGGCGAGGTAGAGAGGACCGGAACAAGCCACCGAGTTGACAGCCCACTCAGGCAGCCTCGCTTGAACGTTGGTTTCCGCGCCATGGTCCAGGAGCTGCCGCAGGATGTCCACGTCCCCATCCCTCGCAGCAATGAGCAGTGGCGAGCAGTTGTTGTAGATGCTGCCCACGGGGCTGGCCCCCGCGGCCCGGAGGACCTTCACGCATTCCCGGGG